CCCATACCACCACTCTCCCCGCCACCCCACCGCGGACATACCCCACGCGCGCCCACCTGGTCGGCGCCCCGCGCCCCCGGGAAATACCCCGCACGCGTAACCCCTAGCTGCGCCGCCATACCCCGCGCGGCCCCGCGTGCTGCTCCAGGGCATCTCCAGAGCATCTCTAGCCAGAACACTCTCGAGAGGATGGAACAAAAGCACTCAGAGCTAAGAGGGGTTGGGTGGATGACACGAGCAAAATCACATGTCAACGCAGTAAACATTAAATAATCCATCGAAGTAATTCAGAAATTGTTTGACCCAGATCCCTACAGTTTTTCCTTGGACAATACATTCCAAAACTTTGGAAAATTTTGACGGAAGTTTCCTAAAACTACGTTTAAAACTTCCTTCTTTTCACAGTGGCCATAATTTTTGATTGCAGATGAGGGCGGGGTCGAGCGGTCCCGGTGCTGCCGCCGAGCCTGCCCGCGGCACCCTTGCGGCCCCGCGTCGCACCTCGCGGCTCATGGGGTGACGGCGCCCTGGGCGAGGCGCTCGCGGCGCGGCGCTCGGCACGGCGCCCTGGCGTCGTGGCATGGAGACCCCCCGCGCCCGCACCCGCACCCGCGCCCACCCGCACGCCTAGTATGCTCCAGTGGGTGCCGTTGCTCCTACTGACGGGCGTCTCCTTGGTTGGTGAGTCAAGCGTCCACCATAATGTTGTCCTGCTGAAGACCACACGGTAAAAACAACGTCTGCTTTTTAGAAGAAAAGGGAAAAACTTTGAGGAACTTTCACATGATTGAGGAGGAAAAACTCCTCAGACGTTGAGGGAAGTCTCCTCAAAAACTGTCTGAATTTCCATAATTTTTTGAGATTTCCTAAAACAAAATCCTCAAATATAGGAGTTCCTCAAAGTTACACCCTTTCCTTAATTAATCGAACATTGTTTTTACCGTGCAGTTGAAAATCAAAGTCGAGGGGGCCAACTTGTTGTGCAATCACGTGAACAGTTCACGAACACAAACCCGTAACTACGCCAAGAGTGGCCCTTTCGTTCCAGATGCCCCAAAGTGGGGTATTAGTATTGCTGTTATTTTATAATTGTGTCCCAGGGTGCATGCCCAGGGGCGGGGCTGGGGCCATCGACGGCGCCCCCTCCAACATCACCGTCATGTTCCTGAGCCACACCTCCGTCCACGTAAACTGGTCCACCAACATGGAGAACGTGGAAAAGTACGACGTGACGTACAAGCCCACCGATGCCAGGTAAAAGCAGGCGAACACAAAGAGAATCACAACAAAAGAAAAGGCTCATCAACCCCAAACGACCGGCGGCGTGCCGTCTGGCGTTGAGGTCTCTGCAGAACAGGCTCACTACAGCCCGCGCCTTCTGCCCGCAGCTTCAAGGTGGTCATCGTGGTGGCGGGCAACTCGGAGTCAGTGGTGCTGGACCAGCTCTTACCCGACACCCAGTACCAGATGTGGGTGCAGGCGTTCCGCGCGGGCAAGAGGTTTCGCTCGCGCCAGATCGTGTTCCGCACTTTAGGTAAGTACAAAAGTATATAGTAGCCGGCTCAAATATTCGTGCCCATGTGTGTGTTTCTCGTGTCTTCCCACGCTCATCGACCGCAACGGCTCCAATAGCTGAGCTGCACGCCGTAAGTGCCGCGCATATCCCCCAAGCGCAAGCGCGGCCGCCTCCACTGCAGCATCGCGCCTCCCGCCCTTGAACCTTCGACCGCGTCCGTCCCATTCTCATCAAAATTTGACACGAGTCGACGCCCGCGGAGCCGCTCCACCCCGCACTGCCCCGCACCCC